ATGGTGCACTTAACATGGATGTGTCCGCATTCTTTTTTCTGGAACAGCTTCGGGTGCTGGATCTGTCTTTTGCTGGTCTACGCAGTCTCCCCTCAGATTTCAGAAGTGTGTTTACAAGAATGGAAAATCTGCAAGAACTTCAGTTGGGTGGAAATCCCTGGCTATGTGACTGTACCCTTCGCTGGCTAAAGGACTGGTACCTTTCGGACGCCTCGCCTTCAATGCGTTTTTCTCACACTCGCAAAACCCTTCAAGAAACACACATAACTATTACACCAACATGCAGTGAACCCTATAGTGTCCACGGAAAGCAAATATTTGGCAGTCCAGGGCCCAAAACGATAAAGCTGGAGGAATTTCTTTGCAAACAGTGGATATCCTCTAAAACAAAAACCGTAAGCGCTCCCGAACAATCCAACGTATCATTGGAGTGCCACGGTTATTCTGAGACGCCTGTGAAGGTCCAGTGGTTCAAGGATAAGCATGTTCTCACAAAACTGTCTAGACGTTATGCCCTCTTTCAGTCAAACTCACCGGAGTTTCAGGCCACGCTCAACATTGTCCACGTGGTAAAAGAGGACGCCGGTCTTTGGGAGTGTGCATTGGATGAAGGTGGTGGCCAGCAAAGAGCATCAATAAACCTGACGGTCAAATTGACGGATGGATCACTTAGGGATGCCAGTTCAGGCAATTCTCAGTCAGATTTATACAAACAAAATCTCGTGTATGCGGGAATCGGAATCGCTTCTCTTTTTATTCTTCTCGGTGCTATTGCCTTGGGGATTTTTTGTTGTTGGAGTGGTCGCGCCGGCAAAACTGCCCGCGTGCACATGTGTGCGTCAAAATTTAGAGGCGGGAACGCCTACCAGTTTGGCGTACAGAGCATTGACAGTGATGCACGTGAAATGATTGGCAATAGGGCTGCCAACAGTCGTTCCGATTCACCTGGTCCCATGCAATCGAAATCTCCCAGCCACGCCCTACAGCACATTAACGACCTCAAAGACAGCACTAACCAGAACTCCGGCAGCTCTCAGATTCATTTTCTTTCGGATATTGCCATAAAGTCTACGATACCGGAGGGTATCGAGTCGATGCCAGAGGGGACTTTTTATGGTCGAATATGTGTTCCTACACTGCCCTCTACCATTGAACCACCGTCTGGCCAAGTCCTCGGCACAAGTAGCTCTGGTAGCCACGCCGTCGGTAGGCAAACTGATATCCTAACCACATCGGCCAGGCTATTTTCGGGACAGTCTGCAACGGACGAATCGACACTAGCGAGCGCCAACTATGCGGACCTTCTTCCGCTTCCACCTGAGACTAGTTATGGCACAACGCGCAAGACACTACCAATTTCTACTGGACTGTTGAACTCTCTCACCACACCCATACCTGTTTCAGTAAAGAACTTTGTTGCAAGTGGCGTACCGCCTGCAGGTGTACTGCTAAAAACGAGTGTAACGAGCTCCAGTTCGCCATGCCCTTTGCACGGTCCCACGCTCCAGACTGTTTATTCCCGCATGCCTGCTACAATCCATGATCCCTGCCCCATTCACGGTAGTTCAGCAGCGTTGATAGCCAAACAGAATGACGTCACCAAATGCCAAAGACAAAAAACGTCATCTTTTACGCAAACTGCCGGTGGATGTAAAACCGAACTGCAGGCCTCCAACTGGTCCCGTTCGACCGTCTCTCTTCATCATGGACTAAACACCGAGCTAGCCAATGATCGAAAGGGCTCGTCGACTAACTGCGCTCCTGTTCCTTATGTAAGACGGGATTCAACGGGTTCCTGCTGCTCCTCCTACAAACCAGGTAATACCAACTGGAGGAATGAAGGTCGGGGTCAGTCCTCCTACAGAACACTGCCATCAAATATAGGTATGGGGCACTATTCAACCTGTCCCATTCACGGAAAAGTTAGTGCCATTACTTTAAATAAACGTAGTGCTTCAGTGGCTCTCGACAGAGCATTAAAATCATCTGTGATAGGCGCGCAAATCTCACACCACCGGAAATTATTGCGCAATCACGATGAGTGCAGCAGCTGCTCCTCTACAGACAGCGTGGCTGAGGGAGAGGACGTCATGGAGGATTACACCAGCGAAACTTCGGAGGACCCACAGGGCAACTCCTCGGATACCTGCTCTACAGGATCTGATGCCGATTATGTTATTAGTTGTACACAACGGCATCAACCGCTCTCCAGAGGCTATTCGTCACAGAATTCTCTGGGCTCAAAACACCTCCGCCAGGATCACGCCACTTCTGGTAATCAACGCAGACAGGGAATAGCAACCAAGCGTAAAAGCGTGTGCAGTTCAGACTCGGAAGACCTACCGAATAATAGTCACAATCCGTCCTGGAATGAGGACCAAGCTCAGCGATTATCCATATGCTCTGGCAATTGGAAAATGCGTCAGTCGGGTGAAGGTTTGGAGGTTCAGGAAGAAGGGGGAAGATTACCACAGGCAGCCTTCCCTCCAAGGACTATGATAGGCCAGCCAATACTTATCGCGATTGGCGAACCACGCTGCACAGGTGTAACCAACAAAAGCCCATGCAGCCCAATGCATCCCAGGCCTACTGTCAACACTCAAGTGGCTAATGAGGTCATAACGAACGTCCACCCTAAAGAGGCGCCCTCTCATTCCAGCTGTAAAGAATTAACCCCCTCTTCCAGTTCTTCCACATTTGGCCCACCGAAATCTATTCTCGTCAGACCAAGAAGTAGATCCAGATGCGGAGCATTGGAGCTCCACAATGCGTAGGCCATCAGAACTAAAGACTAACTGTTGTTGATCATGTGGGCCAGAAATTCCTAAATGAACTGCGCTACATTTTCCAAACGGTGCATTTGTACTCTTTTCGGTCTAGGAGCACTTCGCATCAATCAGTTATTTGCTCAAAAAGGGACCAGCATAGGCTGGTGACACTGACTTTTTGTTTGTTTTCCAAGACAACTAATGATAACAAACGTTCTGTGGAGCATTTCGGATGTTGAAATTAAATTTAACATCTTTTGAAGATGTTCGTCCATTGTCTTCGGAGTACTGTCATAGGAATTTTCTAATTTAAATGCCAACTTAGTATTTTTTACTAAGCGAGTAAAATGCTGACTGTTTGGAAGCACATGTTGCAATTAAATCCAAGTATCCCAATCACAAATGGTTTATGTACAGAGGAAAAGGCGTGACTTATAGAAAACTCTTACTCGATCTGACACGTAGGCGCAACCTACGATCTTTGAAATAAACCCAGCGAGTCCCCAAGTGCCAAGCGAACACTTTCGCAGCTCGACACCAGCATGTAGTAGCATAAAACGTCTAACGCTATTAGAGGCCTCCGGACGTTTGGCCAAAAATGTTCCTTCTGCGAGATTTGACGCCACGGAAATGACCGCTAAAAAGGAAAAGAAATGGCTCTTATGGGCAAAGTCCTCAAAGCACGTTGGTTTTGGAAAGGCAAACAATCATAAAATCAGTCTTATTTCTCAGCTTGTGAGGGCTGGTGTAATTGCTGGGAAATATTATTATGCCGTTTTCCTCAGTGGTTTGCTCAAAACATCGCACATAAATATCAGCGGTAATTTGATTATTTAATCCTCGATCTTAGACCGGTCTCTCGTCAGTCGGTTAGAACTCAGCGTGGGTCTTTCTGTCGAAAGCGTACACCGGGTGTTGGGATATGTCTTTTTCGAATTCCTTACTACTGTGCTTCATCGTCCTCAGTCCGCGTTAGTCGAACGACAGTAGTAAGACAATCTGGTCATCTATGGATTCAGGAAGAGCGGATTGATAACCAGGCCCTGGTTTGAATGTTATCTGATGGAAAACCTAACGATATAGTAATAACGTTTTTATGCGTTACTGACTTTGATCCAATATGGACAATCGAATCATTCCTGAATGTTTGGCGCACCCGGTCTCAAATTATGTACTACCACACCTCAATCGCCCAACAGGTATTTTTGCTACGTTCTGTGATTTGCCTGCAATAGTTTTCTTAATATTTGAGAGTTTTTTTAACCTTTCTTATAACCCGCTGTACGAACGTATCTAAGGGACTTTCGACATTTAAAAGAGATAAGTGGAATATCTCGAAATAACATGATTCTGTATAGGACAGTTCATCCTTCAAGAATATCTTACCTCAGCTCGTCAAGACCCTATTATGCATACGTGAGGACCGTGCGGTTTTACATGATTTTTGACACGTCGTTTGTATAAGCTGAATAACTGAGAAGGTAGTTACCATTAAATTTCGTAGATCAGACAAATAAACCGCTATTTAAAAAATTTCCTCAAAAGATATCATTTTACGTTAATTTTGATCACAATGAATCCCAGAGCATTTGGCAACCATAATTTTAGTAGTGACAACGACGTAAAAATGCCAGCCTAAAAACAGACCCAAATGTAATAAACATTAACTCGAATTCCAAGGTTTACAAAGTACAGTCCTATAGAACTTGCACGTTTCCTGTGTGCTGGAAGAACTTCGTCTGATCAGTCAAGATACTTTTAACCTTACTCGCAGTGGCTGCGTTTTCCAGTTTCACTAAAAAGCTTAATAGTACGAAGGTGGGTTAGAAAGAAGGGGCTAGATCGCAGTTGGTGGCCAGGACCCGTATTACAGGTGGCTGGGGTTTGTTTACGGAGCTTTTTTGTGGGGCTTCATAGTCATATCTGACCCTTTAGGCTTCCGTTTTACGTCTGAGGTTAAGATGAGGATACCGGTTAATGGTTTCCGATGTTCGGATTGGGATTATGCCTTTTAGGCACAGGTTTTTGGGTTACGGTTAGGGTTTGAGTTTACGATTACGGCTAGGTTTTACAGTTAAGGCCACGCCTAAGGGCTACGGTTACGTTTACGATTTCGGTTAGGATTAGAATAAAGGTTGCCGTTAGGGGTTAACGGTTACCATTTAAGGTTAAGGTTAGGGTTAGTGTTAGGGTTGAGGTTAGTATTAGCGTTAAGGTCGCCGTCCGCTTCCCAATTCCTGATTACCAACTGCGATCTAACCGAAGAAGAGTTTGGGGAATTTTATAATTTGATAATTTTTTGCGACCTGCTATTCCCAACTTTCTAAGACGTAAACGATCGTTAGGATATCTACAAAATTCACAGTATAGGGAGTACCTATCAAGCCTAAATACTGCCGATTGTGGTCTGATGTCCTCCGGCGTTTTACTGTATCATCGATATGCCTATACTGTGATGGGTCCGGACATCTGGTTGCGAAAAACCGAATAATTCTCAGTAAATATGCTTATTATTAATTACCGCACATGTATCTCGAGTTGACTTCAGCATATGCTGCTATTCGCAGTTCTCTGACTACAATCCCGTACAAATGTTTAGATTGTGAACTATGAACAGAAAAATATTTCCCATTTTGGAACCCAAAAATAACCGGTGGAGCTTTTCTTCATTCGACAAGGATGGCTGCGTTTTTGGTTTGCGTACGAACAGAAGCAGGTATAAAAAGTAAAAAAGGTTTTTTCTTGTCAACTTTGCAAGAATTCATCTTTCGAATTCCGGTGTGCAATTGGTCCTAAAACGCCTAACTCCTAAAAACGCCAAATATTGGCGTCCATATTAATTAGCCAGAGGTTATTTATCATTCTTTCTAAGTTAGCATGTAAAATTTCACTAAAGACGGTCCTGACGGTAGGATTCTGAGCATGCCTTGACTTGGCGAAATATTTGTCTAAATTGGATTTTAGATTCCCAGTTCACTCCTCGTATAGGTTGTCGTGCTGTTCTAATAACATACCGTACTTTCTTCCAATAAAAGCGTTTTTAGTAATCATTGGGATTACTCACAGTTTAGTATGCCAAACATGATTTAGCTACCTTGTTAATTGTTTTGCATTAATTGTCATGATAGCGTACCCCGTGCAAGCCGGAGCTATCTTCTTTAATTTAGCAAACCCTTAAACATTCCCGGTTATTTAGAAATTCCGATTTAATTAGGGAAGGATAAAGAAATTCTGCCGTCCACTCTGTCAAAGTTCTGATCTTTACTTTTAACCACAATATCTGCTCAGTCTCCGCTCTGCTAATAAGGAAAAATCGGAGCGAGAAAAAGAAGACGCATCGTTGCGGCAGGAATAACTTTCGCCTGACTACTCAGATTAACCGGCGAACTTATGATCGGATACTATGGGTCCGGAACGCCAGGGAAGTAATTTTTTCCAACAACTAGTCTCCTTTCAAAAAAGTTTCCGTGACCCGTTTTTCAGCTTGAACTAAACAAAAATCGCAATGGCAGAATCACAAAGCGTAAACACAATGAAAGCCCGCTAAAACACATGCAAATAAGACAATATTCCTCTTTATTAAAAAACTGCGATTTATACTGTGTTATTTAATGGAATTTTATTGTGCCTTCTAGAGTACTTAGTGCACCTATATGTATGCAGCGTTTTGCTACGCGCCACCGAAGGATCATGTGAATTGTTAAGGAGCTATTAACTTCAGCGATTGTTATTTTCGGTGCCAAGCAAATCTACGTTTCCAATGAAACTACAACGGTAACTTCATGAAGGCCATCGAAAACGACCTGAAATGCCATTTGGATGATGTTTCAATATAAAAGCCAGAGGTGTGCAATGCACTAAAAGTTAGAAGTAAAATAAACATGTTTTAGGTATGAATACTAGCAATAAGGTCTCCTAGAAATCAGCTGTTAATTTGCCGAACCACATGACCGTAAATTTAACAGCGAATCCATGGGTCAATTTGCATCAGGCTTTTGATAAAATCCGTTATACGGTTTTGCCCATAATTAACCCGAAATTGAGACTACGCTGGGCATGTACCATATTTGTTAAAGTCAGCAAGGGCCAGTCAGAAATTCTCCATTGTCTATGGCCTTTATTTTCAGGAATTAAATCTACATTCAAAACAGGATTTGATGAAGAATTCCCATTCCAAGACGTCGTCTCTCCTCAAAAGACTGGTGAATTAATGTTTTTGTTAAATGAGCATCCTCTGAGATCTGTTTGCACCGAAATCAATAATGTACAAATATTAATCATCTCACGAGCAACGCTTGGTCGACAGCAAATTAAACTGAGCCACACTGCTCTTATGAGGTCAAGGAGCAGGAGTAAAACGCCTTCTAAAACTACTCTGTCACAATGAACATCCTCTTGCATTGTCCATATAGGCAAAATACGAAATTGGTTTCGTCGTGCACCTGAATGCGGGATGGCGTCGAGATGAACAGACCATCTGTCTTACGCGCACAAGGGACCCAGAGAACGCATTTAAATCGTTGGCTCACGTAAAACAAATACGGTCCGCGAGTCTATAGAAATAATGCAAACAGAAAAGGCAGACGTTACTAATAAGGAGGACTACGAAGCTGCAAAATTACTTCTGAAAGACATGGGGAGGCGAACGCAGGGGAAGCTTACAGTGTAAGTGGATGTAGTGGAAGTTCATTGGCACAAATGTCGATCAGCAGCAGAATCATTTGCTGAGAGCTGTTAAATGGCTAATACTTTTGCACATTGCACATGTATCTGACGATAGAGTGGCAAATATGTTTTGCATATTTGCGAAATAATCGTTTTTATACCCAAAATTCTGAACCGAACCTTAAACAAACTAATTAAACATGGCAATCGGAGTGTATGCATTCTGACCGAATTTGGCCGTTTTTCTTGTGTGCTAAGAATGCTACACAATCATCTTTGTCATCACACAATACACGTTGACAGGACATTTTACGCGAGTTTCCTTAATAAAGAATATTAAT